TTAGGGGAAAGAGGCTACAATTAGCACTTCAGATGTAGTTGAAAAATAAGTTATACTTGCACATCAGCTCTGTTCTTAGCAGGTGGCTAGTCACTATACGTAGTCCGCTGGCTTTGTACAAGTATCTAGTAATGATAAAAAGAGGCGTAGAAGCCTCTTTACAGGTTAAGAACTTCTAAATAAGGTATTAGTTCCTTAATTACTTTGTAAGTAGAACTGCTCGTAACTTATACAAGGCGTGCAGTAGCTGCAAGTAGTATATTATATTTGCAACTTTCCGAATTGTAAGTGTATGTAATTGCAAGCACATGATTGCACACTAGATTCTTAAAAAAAGATAATTCAAATTAAAGCGCGTATGCAGGTTAGGAAAATCTAGGTACGCAGATTTGGATTATACTTGTTGTCCGAGCCGGGTAAGCAAGGTCTAGAAGTATCTAATCTATCCCAAGAGATGGCTACCTCGGTAGCGAGTTGTCTAGGTTATAATACACTCTACTTTACCTAATAGGTACTATTACACGCGATAATGCCCGTTACCTATCTTACTATCGTTACACTTGATGTGATGCGATGATACATGGGTTCCGATAGCCACGACAATTGTACCAGCCTGTTTGTATGCTCAGCCGGCGACATCTCCGATGATAACAAGCCAGAACAACAGTATCTAATACCTCCTACAATAGAAGATGACGGCCCTGGCACGGGGTAGCACAAAGGGTCTCCTACCTACATCGTTCTTGTCCAAAGGAATAGAAGATAACAACGACAGCGATCACGCGGAGTCGGAGTGATACCACCAGAGCCGCACCACAATTAACCAACGGGCTGTCATAGTCATCGGATAAAAGGCCATGGTCGTGGAGCCGCACACTAACACATCATCCAACGGGACGCATGCCAACAGCCGAGGATACGGAAGGTTTTCAAGATGAAACAGTATCAAGTGCCCAAGTCTCGGTTGCAACAATACGGAGTATCGTCCATAGGTGTGATTTCCTGACCTGCCTGTTCGCGGTACGATCACCCGATGGGCTGCAGTCCGCCTCGTGACGAGCCCCATACAACGCGCTTCTATGCCAGCGGAAGAGCGCGATACTTTGTAAAGGTCCGAGAGTGTTCCCGTTGATACGGCTACAATACGACTACGCAATGCCATCCCACACCAATCTGTCCATGATCATCGTCTCACATGCGTCGAGAGATCCTGGCCATGTCCCGACCCCCACGCGTGTCAAACGGGTTCCTCGTGCCTTGCACCGTGGAAGTAACGTTCCAGAATGAAATCCGCCTGTTCTCCGGAGTCACTTGGTAGGGTATCCTTGCTGTGGAGCCAGATCTGACAAGCGCTTTTCCCGAGATTCGTCCTGTACCTTGCTGGTGAATGCCAGCAGGGATGGAGCATGACAAACGTCTCGATTGATGCGTGCGTACATGTCAGGCGGATCGGCATGTGCTGCATTTTAGACTTCCGTCCCGGTGCTTTGGTGGCGGTGCGGCTGGGAGAAAGGCGTTGCAAGCGTCGTTGAGCGCAGCTCCTACCTTTCGTACGAAGTCGACGTTGAACCATCGCGTCTCTTGTGCCAATGCAAGTCGCCGAGGTACCAAGACCCGGGGACACCGACGTGGAAGCTGATCTTATATTCTTTTGCGGCAGGGACTGACGTGAGATGAAGCAAGTCGGGATGTGGTGGGAATCGGAGATCGGTTAGTAGACGCCGTAAGGACGCTAGTCCAGAAAGGGCATCGCGCAGACTCTATCAATTTAGTTGACGTTTTTCCAGAACCCAACCTGCCAGCGCGGACCGATTCACTGACACTCCTGCCTCAGCTTTCCCACGCGAGGCGCTCTCGAGCACGACTGTCACATTCCATGGTTTGATGCATGCCGGGAAGTGACGGAACTCAAATACGCTTTTCACCACTCAGGTGAACAAGATCTTCACTATGACGTCTAGAAGAGTTCTGAGGCTTCTCATCCTCGTAGCTGATCCTCCGCATGGGATAAGATGAATGCGAAAAAGCGGGGTCGCGGCAAGGGCCTGTACGCGTCCGCGCTTAGCAATATTCGCATACCGGGTACCATGTATACACTGAGGTGTTATGAACGGCTATCGCCAATTTATCCATCTTCACCCCGGGGTTTCATCGTCTCCTTTGTTTACAAACTTGGACCGCAACGATGTTGAGGACGTTTGACAGCAGCACTATGAGCGAGGTGACAGGTAAACCTCATACAAAGGGTTCCGACAATTCGGCGACGCCAGCGAATCCATCGTCCGCGGTCCCACAGCCTACGGCAGCTCCCGAGCCCCCTCGCCGCCAGCAAATGCGCAGCTGCGACTCATGCAAGCGCGGAAAACGAGCTTGCGATGCAGACAAACGCGTCGACTTTGCGAACCAGACATGCTCTAACTGTCTTCGAAAGAACCAAGTCTGCACCTTCAACTGGTTGAAGACAGCATCAGTGACTCATCCAGAGCGAGAGAGGAAGAGGAGGCGCTCAGAGGAGAAGAGTGATAGTGATCAGCTCGAACAACATGCAGCAGGTAGCTCTGTCAGCTATCAGTATCAAATACCACCTGGATCCATTGCGAACGAAGCTCAATACGAACTGCAAGATCGAGGCACACAGTGGTCATCATCTCAAGACGAAGACGAGACGCGCGAGGACTACTTCAGCAACCCGCCGAGTGACGACGTGGATAACATATCCGATGAATCGATACACTCACTGGATCTAGACTCAGTGCAATTGGGGAGGAACAACGAGCAAGGATTGCTCCAGTCGCGATACCCACGGAGAAACTCTTTCGCCTTGCGTCCTCATCGTGGAAACCAGAGAGACGATGCCTCATCTCCATTCATGGACATACTGTTGGGGGAGAGAACGTCTCGGGGGTTCGTGACCAACGGGCTATTACGCATCTACAACGACAGCATGGAAAACTCACTCTCATGTTGGCTCACAGAGCACAACTGCCCGTATACGATGACGCGCTACAAGCCTTCTCTCCTCTCGGCGAGTAAGGCTACACGGGAATGGAGTGGTACCTGGTCGAACAGAATGTACAACCGTGTACTTCGACTTGATCGAGCCTACGCATCCCTTCGCATACGGAAACCAACGACCGACGAAGAACGTACAATCTCCAAAGCACTCAACATGGTCATTATGTCTTTCGCGTCACAATGGGCTCAAGCGGGCGAAAGAGGGGCAGGAGGCCGTGCGACTGACCCCCAGTTTATGGCAAACAGATTTCCACAGTCGAATGAGTTTGAGCGATCCATGCAAGAGACACTCTGGCATCAAACAGCTAAGCTGCTGCATCAGGCTGCTGACATTGGTTCTTTTCGTGTCATCTTTGCCTTGATCATCTTCTCGCTGACCCAACGGCCGCTAGACACCACACAGCTACATGCACGTACGGATCCCAGGTTGAGGACGCACTACGAACACTTTCAAGCCCTGGTACAGGATGATGACGCCCCAATCTTCTTGGAGATAGCTTTGCGACAGCTACTCGCCCAACGACGGAGACTGGAACGCGTGGAACAAGACCTAGGACGAGACCCTCTTCAGCAAGAAGACCGAGATACTTTCAATCTGTTATACTGGTTTGGCGTTATGTTCGATACCCTATCCGCAGCGATTTCCCAACGACCAGTAGTGGTCGACGATGAAGATAGCGAACTACCACCTCCAACCAACGACGCGTATACCGAGCCGTTTACGTGGTCAAACCCTCCTACTACTTTCACGGACCAATTCGCGATGCCAGAAAATCTTTCCAACTTTTCCACTGAGCCACCAGCGACCCAGGCCACAGAAGGCAATGCGGTGTGGGGTGATCTCTTCACGCGCGATGGCACATTGGAAGTAGACCCTGGAGCAGCGCGATGGCCATGCAGCTACAAGGTCGCCGCCGCAACACTCAGTTCCGCCGCACCAGTAAAAGTGCTACTATACAGACGGGTCGCCCACCTCCAAGCGTTGGTATCGCGGAAGGTTTCGCCAGCTAGGATTGAGGTGAGTACAGGGATATGCCATTTCCTTCTTCGTGGCCTCTAGCTGACAATCTCATGCGCAGTCAGGTATAAACGGCGCATTCCACGTCTACAACCACTGGCATCGCACGTACGCGTCCTTCTTCTCCGACTGCGTAAAGCACCACGCCACCCTCCCCACACGCGTACAATCCTGGTACACCCTCATAGCAGGCCACTGGCATCTGGCCACCTTCCTGCTTTCCGACTTGCTACTCACAATCGACAAGACGAAACTGTCTTCCCCGAACGAGCGTACCCTACGACAGTCATCAAACCTCGTGAATACCCTGCGCCGCCAAAATGCACTGGCAGTCGCCGACCTGAGTCTTGCCAGCATACACAGTGTGAAAGAGAAAGAAGGCACAAATGAGTTTCACTTTGCGCTCAGCCAGGCTGCCCTGTTGACAGAGCCGTGGACTGTGGCTTTCGTGCGCTCGTTATGCAGAGCAGGCTACGTCTTGGTGCAGGTAGTCGCGTCGGAAACGATCGAAGAAGAACGCGATCACGCAATACGGAGATGTCGCGATTGCATCGAGGGGCTCTGGTATCTGGGTCGCAAATCAGACATGGCGTTTCTCGCTGCGCGCTATCTGTCGGATATGCTGGATGAGGCGATACGCGATACGAGTGCACGGACGATGGCGGAGGAGATGGGCAGTGATTCTGCGACTGTGTCGTCTCAGTTTGGTACGAGTTCGAGCCCTGGGACGGATGCAGGTGTGCCTGTGTATCAGCAGCCGTTTGGTTCGATTGGTGCTTTTCCGTCGTGGTCGGATGCGGATTTGATGGGGTGTTGTCAGCCGGGTACTAAGATCGACGAGGGCGATGTGTTGAATATGGAGACTCCTTTGAATGTGGATAGCGCGTTGCTTTGGGACTTTAGTCTGCAAGGATAGCGACATAGTCCAGCCAAGCCGGGAAGTAGCAATTGCCTGACGAGGCTAGAAATGTCCGTGAGATTCATGAACGACTATATTCTTCCAGCATGTTCAGAACGGGCTGGAATAGACGCAGTAGCAGTTCCAGCATGTTCACGATCGGCAAAGCAAACGACGCAACGAAAACGCTCGGCCGTGTATATTTACACTCTCTAAATTCCCTCTTAAGCACCGCAGTGTCTACCTACTAGCGATTGCACCATGCCACCAGTCATGAATACCTCCGAGCGTGACGAACGCGTTAGTCTGGTCGATAACATCAAATCTCTATGGAAAGTGGCGAATCCTACAGACATCATCCCCGATGTTATGCGGTATCCTGAGCATATCGGTACTTGGCCTCTACCTATCCTACGCGCCATAAGCTACTTGGCTAGTGGTATGCCGGGTGACGAGGGACGGCATCGATTCGTTCATCTCCTTAACAACGGCTATTTGACGAGGATAGCAGATGAATCGACTACTCATGGACTGCAGCTACAGTCATCCGATCTGGATTTTGTCCGGGACAGCTTTGGATTAGAACCGGCGTCTGTGACGGTAGAGGAGAAAGCCGCTTCAGTCCAGAACGATGTTACACATCCCCAAGAGCGTCCAGAACGAATACTTCCAGAAGATGAAGATGAGCCGGAGACTTTGAAGTTGAAGTTAGATCTGTGGATCCAATACTACTGGAACGTCACTGATATCAAAGCCCTTGTCCCCCGTAACATGCGGCAGCTAGATAAATTTGGAAAGCCGACCAATCGGGCGCTGCACAGCTCCAGCGATCAAAAGGATCTGTTGAAGGTACTTTACCAGTTAGCTCGCATCACAAAAGGTCGAAAGGATGCAGCATGGGCGCAGATAGAAGAGGCGTGGAAGGCAAGAGGAGGCAAAGCGTTTGCAGAATCAGACGTCAAAGTCGCTCTTGATCACTTCCGTGACCTACGTGAAGAAGAAGAAGATGATGATTCTGTTACCAACAGTCGAAAGCAATTACCTATTGTACCTTCAAAACCCGACGGCACTACCGGCGAGGAGGGTCAGGATGGCGCGATGAACACCCAGCGGGGAAATCAGCATCGCGATGGAAGGCAACGGAAAAGACGACGTCGCGAATCTCGAGCCACCGAACCCGACACCCACAACAGTGCTGATCACCAAACGCTACTTTCCCACGTGGATGTCGCAGAGGCGGGACTCTCGATGGCTCGCAGCCGACGCTCGTCAGTCATGGTAAGACGTGACAACGACCGCACTAGCATAGCGACCCGCGACGCTACGGTCGACGAGGCTGCCACGAGCTTACAAGGTGCGCGTGGAGCATCGATCTTACCGCTAAAGAGGAAGAGACGGTATTCACTAGACGGAGATGAGACAGATGTTGATGAGGAAGGTAGCAAGACGGGCGATGACGGAAAAGATGAGCGTGAGCATGCGAAACAAGAGCACGATGATCTGGAGCCAGAGGAGGTTCATAAACTGCCAGAAAAATGAGCCGTGTTATTTGAGACAGAGAACGCAGCGCAAGATGAGGACGTCGGGGATTAGACAAGAAGTTGAAGTAATGTAGATAAGACATACTGCAAATCAGGCCTCAGGCTAGTACATGACATAAATAGCTGTGCCTACGACTGTCACGTGTAATTGTAGCATTCTAAGTTGTTTATTACTGTGCCTCAATGGCGCGTGGGGCTTAACCGATCCCGATGTGCCAATAGACGTGTAGCACACTGCAGATCCAATGTCGCACAGCAGCAAAAGTACGAACATAGGTAACTCGAAGCCTCTATGAGCTGTTCTCTCGAACGACGCGCAAGTTTGGGGGTTGGAAGCGAGTTACCCCGCATTGTTCGCTGTTTCGCTCTTGCCAAAAGCCCAACAACCCCAGCTTCAGAATGACGAGCGAGAATCCCGCCCCAAATACGCATGCACCAACTCAGGTAAGCAATGTTGGACCTCAAAGAAGCGGACGAGACTGATACTATGCTGTAACTCAGCAGCATACACTTTCAGAAGTGGATATTACCCCCAAACATACTCTTATCACGATCGGAGATGTCAAATACGATGTCGACCTTTCGCAAATACCTTATCTGTCGTCCTTTGCCAATTTCCAAGCCAAAGCCCAGCCGGACCTCACCGATTTGGTCCACGGCCCAATACCTCTTTTTGACGTAGCTTTGAAGGGAATTCAATCGGGTTATCGTCAATGCTTCAGGAATCTTCCCCCCGAACTTCAACAGTACCACGTTCTATGCGAAACATACGAGTTTCTCGGCATTAATGTCCTCGACAAACGACGTATCGACCAGATCTTCAGCGATCTGAGGCTCTGCAGGATAGATTGGGACCCAGAGGATGAAGATACCAAGGGTGTTAAGTCGAAAGCACGCGACGCTGCTTTCAGTTTGCTGTATCTCATCCTGCTGGGCGAATTTGAGGATGATAAAACGAATGGAGACAAAGCTTACAACGCAGTGTTGTTCGTGTTATCTCATCCCGCGACGTTCAAGTCGAGAACAAGAGCCGTAGTTCGGGCGGCGTATGAGGAACGTTTTGTTGTCTCGCGGAAGCAGATAAAGAGACTAGATCAATGGCTGAAGGGAGATACTGGAGATGATAGCGAAGAAGTCACCACTACAGAGGAGGAATCGCACGAGGATTACTATGTATCGGATGAGTACTATGAATCGGATTGGTCGTAGGGATTGCGGAAGTTTGTGCGGTTACTTAGGGGATCATGATTTCATTGTCTAAGCCCCGGCGATCACGTCACTTGATCAAGAGAGAAGTGAGAGGCAATTACGGATGCTTGCTGTCTTCACAGATAATCACAGTATTCCATATTATCTCGCGTAACAGTAGCAAATAGACTACTACCGTCTTGCCCATATATATCACTAGCAGGAATGCTCTTCTATCGGTCTTAAAACCACCATCTACTGTCAATAAAATTATGGATCTACCAAAGGAGTATCCCAACCATGATGAGCGACTGGATCTTACGAAGAAGATTACATCTCAGTGGGAAACCACTACAAACAGTACCGCGTGCGTCCCTCACTCTATGCGCTACCCAAAAGACCTTCAGTGGTGGCCTATTGAGATCTTGCGGGCCTTGGGTGACCTCGCCGACGAAATGCCAGGTATCGGAAACTGGAACACAGTCTACGATCTACTCGTAGAGGGCAAAATGGATAGGATGAAGGATAGCTCGTCAGCAGAGATACAGCTGAGCGACATAGAATTCGTTCGAGAGCGCGTTCGGGCGGGAGAAGGGAAGGGAAAGCAAGATATGGTTGACACAACTATGGATGATGACGGTATGTTCATATCTCATACATTATTTGAAGTCGCAAAAGAGCTAACTTGCGCAGAAGCAGATTCCACCCGACACACATTTGATGATGACAAGGTAGTCCATCCGGCTGATGATACAGACGACGTCGATGCCGCTATCGAGCCGGGCGTGACTTCTGGAGCAACTCTTCTCCCAAACGCAGCCAATGCCCTTCCACCAGCTATACTCCCCTCCGAAGATTGTTATTCCGGTTCTCATCTATCAAGCTGTCAGTACAAACGATAACATGTCCCAGAATCGCCTTGGCAAAAGCATAGCAAGGAGGCTACATGCTAGTAAAAAGTTGGCAAAATATCTTAAAGGCTATTCGTGGCGGCTACTTCACCCTACCCCAAGGTCCTTCCAAGTGATCAAAATACCATCTTAATCCTTCACTTCCGTTACAGCTTTTGATCCCACAACTCCAAAGCGACACTTCGTCTCCCCAACGCCACATCTCTTACAGTAAATACACCCAGAGCCATCACCGGGATCGCCACTGCAATTGATCTTCCTCTTACGACAAATGGTACATGGGTTCATGCGACGACGCCTCGCAGCCAGTTCTCGCTCTTCGTTGAGTGGCTCAAACCTCCGCTTGGGTGCTTGTTCGCAGCTTGCTTCATTGTCCAATTTGTGAGGTTCCTGACGCTCGACTCCAGAATGTTCCTCGCTGGCGATCAATTCGGGTTGTTTGTTGGACTGAGTAGATGTGTCGGGCTCGTTGTCAAGGGAGCGTTGAGATGGGCGACGGCCCGCATCAGCAGCTTCCTCTTGGTCCCGCATAGCAATCTCAGTCTGTGAGATTCTCTAGGGTGCTTGTGTACAAATGTTGAAATGCTCTGTCCTATCAAGTGCGCTAATCTGGCGGCTTACAAGAATAACGAAGGCGTCGCCGCCGATGCGAACGATGGAGCAAAAGAGGAGATTGGGCCAGTCTAGTCATATACTGGGTCAGCCGAGCTTTTGGGTGGAGTTTGTTGTGTAATAGCTGTCTGCGTATCAGTTAATACGTCTGTCGTGGAACATTGGCTCGACTGATTTGGCGATTCTATGAAAGGTCACAGCGTGTGATACATTGGATGAAGGCATGCATACCCAATTCGATGAAAAACAGGATGTTCGCGCCAAAGCATCCCGTAGCAGACGTTAAAACATTGAGCGGGGCCTCTCGCATCATACATTGGTTTCCGAAAGAACATGTATCGTAAAACTTCCATGTCATGAGTCGAATCCTGGATCACGCTGGGCGTCAACGGCAACGAACTCCTTCTTACTATACCTCCATAATTTGCTCCTGTACTTTTTTGTGTTGTACGTACCGCTCGATGATATCAATACGCTAGATGCTATCGTCAGGCTCAGCTAAGTCGCTACAAGCCTAGATTCTATTAGAAAAGCGCATATCACTTAATAGCTAATACATACCTCTATGATTTGCTCCTTCTCTTTCATCGACTGTAGGATCAACTTGATTAAATCATCACGCTCGGATAAGTCGCTACATTTCTAAATCCCCGTTAGAAAAAGGGCAGATCACTTAATAGCTAATACATACCTACAACAGATTTTTGAGCTATTTAATAAAAAGCTAAAGAAACTTTAATTTCTTATAGGCCTTTTAGCAATAGCTTTAGCTCTATATAATTAAATATATTAAATTTATTCTAAAATATAATTTATTACTTAATTTTAGTTTCTACGCTAAGTAATACTACCTTTTATATACTAGATTTTACTATTTTAAAATAGCTTAAGTAGCTTAAACTTTATACTATATTAAAACTTATAAACTATAAAGTATAAAAATAATATTAGTTTTTATATATTATTTAATATTACTATAAAAGCTAATTTAGCTTATAAAAGTAGTCGCTACTAAAGTAAGTATATAGGCGTATTATTAAAAGTAAAGAAGTAAGCTTTATATAGCTAATTTTATAGCTAAAAAAAAAGCTTTAGCTACTAAAGTTATCTTTATATAAGTAGTAAGTAGTATATTTAATAGATAAGTATTATATATACTTATCTAAGTACTTAGAAAAAGTAAGTATAACTTTATACTTTATATTTTTTAAGCTATATATAAAAGATAAAGTTACTAATAAATACTAAGTATTTTTATAATAAGTTTACTAGTAAGATATAAAGTTATAAAGTAAAGCTAGTAAGTATAAATATTAAAGTAAATAATTATAAAAATAAATACTATTATAGAGAAGAAGTTTATAACTAGTATAATTATATATATATTATAAAAATAATAAAGATACTATAGTATAGTTAGCAGTGCCTTAAGCCTAATTTAGTTATCTTTATAGTAAAACAATATTAAAAGATATTAAAAGATGTTAAAAGACTTTAAGCTAGTCTCTTTTAGAACTACTAAACAATTTTAATATTAATTTAGTATATATTACTATAGTAATATAATTATTTCTGCCTATAGTATAAATAAATTCTATACTTACCTATATAACTTTCTTTATACTATAACTAAAAACAATATAATATATAGTAATAAATATACTACTAATAGAACTAACTACGTTTATTCTCTATTAACTATAATATAACGCTATATTAACTCTTTAGTACTTAATAATAATAACTATCTATTCTTAACTATAAAGCTTTACAGCTATTATAGTAGCTATCTACTTAAGTATAGTAATACTTAAAAAACTATATATAAACTTCTTTTTATTATTATTTAACACACTATTAAGATAGCTAACAATTCTATTTAAAGCTCTAATCTATAACTTTATAGTATTAAAAATAAGTCTAGAAGAGCCTAGTTCTATAATTAGCACTAGTCTATATATAAAAGTATAAATATAAATAGTATAGGCTTTTAGCGTATCTACAGTAATAAGACAGCTTTAATTAATATTAATAATAAGCTTAGAGTAGTAAAAGAACTTATATATATTAGCAGTAAGCTCTTTAATAGTAAGACTAGTAGAAAGAAAAATTAAAAGCCTTACTCTAGGTAAATATATCTATAAAATAATAGCAGTAATAAAGGCTTTAGAGCCTTTAATAAACGTATTAGTAAAGTAGCTTTTTATATATTTTAAAATACTTTTTATAGTGCTTAAAACGTTAGGTATTATATTATAGATAATATCTTATTTTATAGCTACTAAAATAGCTTTAAGAATAGTCTCTTTAATAGTTTCTTTTTTAGTAGATATAAAGTAGCTTATAGTAGATTTATATAGTAATAGCAACGCAATTTAAAGAAAAGTAATTAAAAAATAAAAAAATAATTTAGTAGAGTATTAGTAAGGTAGCAAAGCAACGCAACTAGTAAGAGATTAGTTTTATTTTTATAAACGCTAAAAAGACTTATAAATTATTTAATATAACGTAGGTGCATGCTTCGCGGTCTAGCATGCTTCGCGGTCTACCTATACTAAGACTCTACTAAAACTACCTCTACTCTATAATGTATAATTAACTATACTAGATAGAACTACTAAAGGAAGCTAGAATATAGACTGCGCTTTAGGCTATTAAACAAGACGCGACTCTCTTATTACGACGCGCTACAGCTACTTATAACGTCTCTTATATAACTCTACGCTATTAACGCGCTAGATAACTCTTATAGGCAGATTGCAGGCTAATAATAATAAGTTTGCATAAGACTAAGGAGAGGGTAATTATTTAGCATATACTTAACCTAGTTAAGCGAGGATTTCCCCCTCGCCTTGTAGATATAGCTAATATAGCTAATTCCTTGCGCGCTAAGCGCAATCTAGCCTAGGTTAGTCTAAGATAGCCTAGTACGTTTGTTAAGCGCTAACTAGAGCTCTAAGTAAAGTTCAATCGCAAGTATAACTATAAGAGAGCCTTCTGCGAAGACCCCGTAGCTATCTAAGCCTAGTTCTAGCTAGTAGCTAACACAAAAGCTAAGTACAGTATCTAGAATAAGAATACCTACAACTTTAATAAGACTAGCTTTATAATAGGTATAATATTAACTAGAGCTGTTGTTATAGCTTTAGAGAAGCGAGAATGACTAAAGTCTGTCTAGCTAGGTAATCGCGAGTAGACTATAGTTATTTAGAGCATTAATATAATAGAATAGGCTATTCTGCTCTATATTATCTTTAAAGAGCGCTATTACCTCTCTACCTAGTACAAAAAGAACGCTATTCCTTAGAATTAGTTAATATTAGTCTCTAAGAATAGTTAGACTATAAATAAGATTAGTTTCTAGTAGTTAGAGCACTTTAATGCCTATATAGAGAAGCGTACTATAGAATAGCACTAGCTACTTATTATTAATAGATATAAGAGCTATAACGCTCTTTAGTTTAAGCAATACTATAAAGAGAGGAAGATTATTACTCTATGCATGCCTCTACACTTATCTCACCTACTATAGCTACTTAATGTAGGTTGTTTTAGGCTATTAAAGAAGGCGTATAGCTGCTAAGCTAAGAAGCTAATGCGTAACTAGATTAGCTATATTATAAAACTTAAGTTCCTACTATACTTTAAGCGCGCCTTTAACGCCGCAATTACTCCTAGTAATATCTAAGAAGAGTTTAGAGGCGCTAGATTAGTCCTATTTAACCTAGAGAGAGTTATAATAGGCCTTAACGTACGGTTACGCACTCTTTTACTACTACCTATTAGCAACTCGCCCTAGCTATTATAAACTCTTAGCAATACTCTTAAAATAGAGTTATAATTAACGCTAGTAAAGCAGAGAATTTAAAAGTATATAGACAGCTCGCTAACTTCTATAGTAGAGGCCTTTAAGAAGGTCTTAAAGAGCGCAGTAATAATTGCGCATAAGCTAGTGTTAGCCTAAAAGGAGATTGCTAAGCTTTAAGTAGCTAATAAGGCTACTACATAGCGCAAATCGCATAAAAGAAAGCAGGTTAGAGCAGAAGAGTCTATAGTAGTAGAGGATAGCTAGCGTAGAACTACTCTATAAGAGTTTAGAGCGCATAATAATAGAAAGAGAGTAAAGAGGCTAGCGCGCGTTAAAGAGAGTAAACTATCCTAAAGACGCTGTAGACGCTGCAATAACATAGAGCACAACGCGCGAACGTATAATTATAAAGTAGAGGTAGCCTCTTAATGCTATTTTAGTATCTTTTATACTATATTATGCTAAAGTAGATTATAATAGGCTATAATAGAGGGGGTTTTAGTGGGGTCTTGGCACAGGTGGACCGCGAAGCATGCTAGACCGCGAAGCATGCACCTACGTTAGTAGTGTAGTGTTTAGTATTAGATTTAAGCTACTTATATTTTTAATATATCTTTAAATTTCTAAAAGTAACTTATAGAATAGAAGAAGCGCGCTTTTACTAAGAGAGATTTTAGTATATATATTCTAACTATAAAGCTTTAAAATATATTACTCTATTAGTTATAAGCTAATAAGCGTGTATAATTATATTATAATTCTTTTATAAAGTTCTCTTACAGAGTATTTAGTATTAAAATAGCTACTTTATAGGTCTAAAAAATTTAAAAGCTTTAACTACCTTAAAAGTAGTAGCACTAAAGCCTTAAGCCTTAGCTTACTTAATGCTACACCTTTAAAAGTAAGTAAAAAATTTAGTTATATATTCTTTAAAGTACTAGCAATAGTTCTTACCTCTTTAGAATTAGTAGCTTTTTAAGCTATAAGTATTACTACTTAAGATTTAGATTTCTACTTAATAATAGTATAGTTAGTTTATATACTTCTTTTTTTAACTTATTACTATATATACAAAATTTAAAGTTTATAGTTTATTATTACTATTTTATAGTACTATAATAACTTAAAAGTAACTTTAAGATAATAAGCTAATTATACTTTCTATATTCTATATAACTTATATGTAAGAAGATACTTTATAAAAGAGAGAAGTATTGCATCTCTAAGAACCTCTTTTAGCGATGTAACATGCTAGTCTATATGTCGTATTGTCCCACAAGAATATCGAGAGGGAAACCCCGGTCCTTATAAGCCGCTTGAGGCAAGTAGGCTATTTTCAGTGCGAATGCTTCAATGAGGCACTTATGCCAGTATTTACCACGATGTGAAGCAGGAGTCTCCCTAGTTGTTTGATCTTGGGTAAAGGTTATCAAAACCTCAATCGATCTGTAGAGCGTATCAAGACGCAATGCTTTCTCTCCTTCCGGACATACAACGCTTTTGCCACGGCCCAGCAGGTAGTCTTTGGCGGATTGGTGGACAAAGAGGACTTGGTCATCCTGCTCTCTGAGGAACGACCCACATTCTCGAATGATGTCTTGCATCGTTCCTACTGAATCTCCGATCTGGTCTAGCTCTTTCACTAAATGAGCCAATTCGTATGTCTCAAGCGGTCTTGGTGATGTCAGCACGACCCCGAGCACAAACTTGTAAAGCTTCGATTCCGGCTCATCTAAGCTCTGAACTTGCTGGAGCATCCTTCCATACAGTTGTTCGAGCCCAGGAGGGAAGGCCTGCATGTCCTTTTCGTAGAACACGCGTTTCGAGAACTCCAACCTCTTGCAGACTAACGCTACCCATAAGAAGGTCCCTCCAGCATTCTTCTTTAGGTAGTCGCGGATCGTTTCGGTATCCGTTGGGCCCAATCTCTTCTTATCAGTCAACGCTTTGACTTTGTGTTCGATGTAGGTATTGATTGCATCAAGTATAGCTTCGGATTTGGGGTCGAGTTGAAGATGGAGCATTTGAGGATGCTCAGTAAGCACATCGCGAATATCGTTCCAGCCGCGTGAGGAGATTATCCACTTGGTGTGTGGTAGCTTTCTTGAAATCTGTACAATCAGTTCCAAGAGTCTTCTTCGATCTTCGGGTTCGATGCATTCGTCCATAGCGTCTATGATGAGGTAGATTTTCCCATGTCGTATGTATATGTCGTCTAGCATACTGGTAATGATCCCGGACAGAGCCGTCCATGTATTCGCGTCGGCGAATAACTTTTCGCCCACGCGATCATACTCCAGCCGTACATAGCGTACAAGTGAGGGCTGCTGGCCAATCAGATGATGGATGAGACCCCGTAAGACTGCCGTTGCGTTGTTATTGTTCGGTTCCGATGTCTGGCAGAAGAAGTAAGACATGAGATCACCCGCCGCCACAGTTTGTTCGAGTGCGTCAATGATGCCGCACATAAGCATTGTTTTGCCCTGACCGGGTGAACTAGAAGTTGTTAGTACGTATTCCTCATCAAACCACGACATCGAATGCTGCTAACTCACCCTTCAACCCAGAGTAATCGCTCTTCACGGTCATCCCGCCAACGCCGATACTCCGCATTGTCAAGTATCCATCGGAAAGAGGCATCCAATAATCCTCCTTTTCCATGTTCGAGCCGTTTTTTGTCGTGACTGGGGTTCGTCAGGAACAGGTCTTGGAGACACTTGCTGTCCGCGGCACTCTTCGTATACGCCAGAGAGTGCGCCGTTTGTTCCTGGAGACTCGCCACAATGTTGTGCAGGCTGATGTCCTGTGACTCGGCTTTCGTCGCAATAGTTTGGAGTTGGTTGCGGATTTCATGCGTGGTGAATTGAGCTGCATCTTGGCGTATCGATTCTTCCATCTCCTTGATCGCAGCCAGCTCACCTTCCCAATCATCCCACTTGACAAGGTCTCTTGCAAAAAACAGTGCCACGTTTGCGATGATATGTAATGATACTTTTGATCTGGTATGCCAGAAGACGAGTGTAAAGGTCGACGAGATTCTTCTCGAGTTGATCTTGCAGCGGCTGCGATCGTCGGGCTTCTTGGTTTCTCTCTAGGAGAAGATCAGCTAGATGCCAGTACCAATCCATCCTCGATACGACGTAAGCGATTCCATCTCTATTAGAAGACTGTTGGGTGAGTGGATTCATAAGTATCTGACATGCATCAGCCATGTGCTTGCATCATCAAAGTTCGCCAGCCATACATCAAGAGCAAGGCAGATCGGTACCCAAGCTATAGAGGCTTCTGGAGAAGCTCTGGTAGCTGTTGCGACGCTATCCTTGACGACATTGAACACCTGCAGGCCTTGCGCGAGTGCTTCGTTAGTCGCAGCTGCCTTCTCCGTCCTGAGCAATCCAGAGTCAACGAGCTGTCGCATCTGCAGTGATCTTGGCTGCCCTGAGCTGATGTTGTTGATCTGTGTATCGAGGTCTACGGCCTTAAGCTCTTGTCCATCGATTTGGCTTGATAGGATGCTCTCATAGTGTTCGATCAATTTCGGATCCTTTGATTTGAGCTGGTCGTATGCCAGGTTCCATAGACGTCCGGGTAAGCTCTCCGCTACCAGTTCTGGGGTGCTGGTGCTCGGTGACTGTAGATCCGTCGTGGAGGAGGTTTTCGGCCCCTCCTCGCTCCGCTTCTCTTGCAAGTCGTCACTGGTGGGCACAGCGACTTGTGGTACCGGTGTCCTAGGCCTCTCTCGATCCTTTCGACGGGAAAACCTGAACAAATTGCAACACCCCATTATTGCGGAAGGTATGAAAGGTGGGTAGGAAGCAAGGCGGACTGGAAGGGAGAAACAAGATGCAATACAGCCTTGCAGCGACTGTGCCGCATGAAGCATGTATGCGGGGGCCTACCTCGACATCATTGGCCGTCCACCCACCATCCGATAGCATGCATAGGGAAAGTATGTCGTCGCAAATTAACCAAGGCTGCACTCATCCGATGTAGCATTCGATGATTGGATCAGAAGGGCCTGTACGCCGAAGCGTGCATACATGCCGTTGGCTTCGGGTGCAGTGAACGCCACCGTCGAAGAGTGCGCCATCTCATTGGTGTCAGATCTTGCGCTGGAGTCGGATGCCGTCGCGCGGTGTTGGGGTGTTGGAAGTGAACGACGTGGACGCGTCGATGTTGTCTGAGGGTTGCAGCGCGACTTCCTGCCCATCTTATCAGCGACTAGCGGCGATAACGTCATCGATCACCAACACCAACAGCCTCACGCATCCCATCCCATCCACACCGAGCTAGCAACCATCCCACATCCAAGATGTCGCCCAATTCTTCCACCACAGAGAGGATAGCCCAAATCTACACCCCCAACCCCTCCGGCACCGAGCCCGCCAACACCCAAGCCGTCATCTCAGCCCTCAATCTCCAGGTACACGTCGAAGGCGGCTACTATGCCGAAATCGATCGCAACCCTCTCACTATTCCGAACCCTTTCTTAGTGAAGAATGGAGGCGACGAAGAAGAAGATGTGAAAAACACGGCGGAGAAACCCATGTCAGGTGACAATGCAATCAGGAACGCAAGCACGAGCATATACTATATGTTGAGTGCAGTGAATCCTCAGGGACACTTTCATCGTAACAAGGGGAGGACGGTACGTAAAGCTCCTATTGTTCAAAACCTGTAATGCAGGCAATAGTAGGAGTGGAGTATTGATACTGAACACTGTGTATAGGTACACACCCTCATCTCAGGACGGGGTCGTTACGTCCTGATCCACGCCGACGAACCCGGCACTAAGAAGCGCATCGAAACGTTCGTGGTTGGAACCGACGTCACAAAGGGAGAGAAGAGCGTGTGGATTGTTGAGGGTGGGAAGTACAAGGCGAGTTTTCTGCTTGATGGAGCGGAGGGGGAGAGGTTGTTGATCAGTGAGGTATGTGCTTTCACCCATCATTAGTGATCGCATACGTCTGACTAACGCGACTAATTAGACGGTGATACCCGGCTTTGAGTTTTCAGATCATGACTTCTTGACGACGGACAAGTTCAAGCAGATTGTTACGGACGAACAGGCGAAGGAAATGGAGTGGTTGGTGAGGAAATCGTGAGACCTCACCCAACAGCAGACGCATCACGTCGGGTATGCAGATTCACCTGCAAAAAGCAAATGCGACGCTAATGACCTGCATTGACTGCACTGACGGTGGCGGAACGCGATGTCGCGTCTTCACGTGTGCGTGATGAAATAATGGCGGGGCGCTATCGATAACGGGCAAAATTGTCGATATTCCGTCACGCAAACCCACGCTCAGCGATTCCCTCAGCAACACAACCCAAAATGACTTCAGTATTCGGCCCAATCGCCGGTAAGTAGTCGCGCCGATTTACACATCCATTTTCTAACGTTTTTCTAGAACAACACCAGGACAAATTCGACCTCGGAATCTGGCACGCGCTCTTCAACTGGAATAACCTCACCGTCGCCGTCCAAAACCAATGGGGCGGCCCCGACTCGTCCGATAAGCGCGACTGGCTCGCAGGCCAAATCTCCGAACTCTTCGCCGCAGAGCCCCTCACAGACCAAGAAGATGTCGAGGTCGTCCTACTACAAGTCCTCGAGGACGAGTTCGGCGTGCGCGTAGAAGACGAGACCGAAGTCGCCGTTGCGCGCGAGATCATGGCGATACGGAAGGAGATTGGCGAGGGCAACACGGCTATGGTGGATGCGCTGCAGAAGAAGTGGGAAGATAGGAAGGGCAAGGAGGTTGCGACTGGGAGTGTTAATGTTAAGGAGACGAATCAGGATTTTGAGGGGGATAGTGTGGATGAGGAGACGGATGAGGATGAGGATGTCGATATGGATGATGCGCCTGCACTTGTGCCTGCGAAACCGAAGGCGGCTAAGCCTGAGCCCGAGATTGATGAGGAGGGCTTTACGACGGTGGTTGGCAAGAAGAAGAGGTGAAGCGGAGGGGGGAGGAACGACGAGCAGCGATACCAAGCCAGCTGAGGCAGTCAAAGTGTTATGGGTGATGTGGGTGACCACTACATAGATGGGGATCTATGGATGCACACAACAGACACCGAGCAGCGAGCGCGCACATCAGCAGCGAGTGGCGACGCCATTAGGCCGGTGTGATGACCACCTTTGAGCATATTGGAAGAGGAAGTTCAGACTCAAAATGAATCCATTATCGTCGCGTCAACAGTCTTGACCATTGTTTGTGTAACGCGAGCGTGCCTGAGCTGCCAGGTGGTGATGACCGCCCAACCACTAGCGGCAATTGCGGAGCTCCATGCATGGCCCCGCCCTCATTTGACCTGCACCCTTGATTGACCCAACCAGCCTGTGTCTCACGACCACAACAACATCCTTAGCCCCCGCCCTATACACATCCTCCCCTACACCCCGCCTCCCTTCTGGACAGTCGTAGCTATGGATTCCGCCTACGATCACATCCAGGAGGAGAGCTACCCGCAGGACCCCACCAAGCAGTCCGCCGGCGGAGATAACACCCACCAGGAGACGACCAACAACTTCAACGCCGAGTTCCAGGATGCTTACAAAGCCATATCGAGCAGCCCTTGGGCGGCGCGTCTAGGAGGATTCCTGGGGAATGTGAGGAAGCAGGTAAGACAGGCGTGTGGGATTCAAGCTACCATCTCTTACCATGTGCGGTGTAGGGCGAGCAATACTACGACAACGCAAGCAAGCAATATGCGCCACAGGTCAAGAACGCCTCCGCCAGCGTCTCCAACATCATCAGCCACGCGCGCAAAATCTCCCTCCAACCCGGCGACGCCTCGAGCTCCAAATCCGCCTCCACCTCGCAAGACGCTTCCACCGAGAAAGCGACCGAAGACACAGAAGCCCACCCCGACCGACCCGAATCCCTGACCGCAGACATAGTAAAGGAGGCAGAAGGCATACTATCGCGCTTCCGCTCCGAAGCCGCAAAACGCCTCAAAGACGTAGAAAAAGCCGAAGACGCCGCCGACGAAGCGCTCCTCAAATTCGGAAGCAACATCCGCAACTTCCTCCGCGACGCCGTCACCATCGCGCCTCCCGAAGCCGGTTCGCAAGCCGCCAAAGACGGCGACGTGCTATTCGAAAGCAAAGACAGCAGCGGCAAGAAGGTCGTTCACGCCACGCGCTTCGACGCCCAACTCCACGTTATCCACTCGACGCTCGATTCCTTCCTCAAAGACCCCGCAAGCCCGGAGTGGGAGAACTGGAAGGCGGGATTCGATGTGGAGAAGAAGACGGAGGCTATTGCGAAGGATCTTGAGAAGCATGAGGAGTTGAGGAGTGCGATGGAGAAGTGTGTGCCGGAGAAGGTGGAGTATAAGGTGTTTTGGTGCAGATACTATTTCTTGCGCCATGTTATTGAGAGTGAGGAGCAGAGGAGGAGGGAGATGCTCAAGGGTGAGTTGCATCTCTTGCTCTGGAATGGGATGGTGAAGCTAACGTGTACAACCAGCATCCACACCCGCCGCCGACGAAGAAGTAGCCTGGGACGAAGACTCGGAAGAAGAAGACGACGATGACGAAGACGAAGAAGAAGATGACGACGAAGACGATTCCTCCGAAGAAGACGACTCAGACGACGATTCAGACGACAACGCTACCGTTACCAAACCTACAACTAAATCCACCACCGCCGCCGCTCCTTCCACCACCCCATCCACCACGACCACAAAACCTACCCCCTCCACCAGCACAACCAAACCCCCAACCGACCTCGCCGCCTCCGTCAAAACCCTCAAACCCACAGACGACGCTAAACCAGCACCCGCGCAACCCCGCCGATCAAACGATGAGAAGAGCGTGGCTGATAGCGACGCGAGTTATGATCTTGTTTCTGGAACTACGACGAGGGCGCCGGGGAGTCCGCAGGATGGCAAGGATGGGAAGAAGAAGGTTGTGACGGAGGAGAGTGATGAAGAGGAGGACTGGGAGTAGGAATGAATATGTGAATATGAATATGAATGTTACGGGGTGTTTTTGGCGCGATGGAATTGTGTGTTTTGGTTATTTGTTCAGATGATGGGTATCTTGCTAAGACAGTAAAGTTATGTGAGATTCTCTTACTTTTTGCGGTTCTATTGAAGATCAGTGACGAGTACTCGCTCGCTATGCTACGCTGAGTTATACTAAATTGAAGGTACATTCTGTGAAGAAAAGACAAGTGGTATCTAGAACGCCATTGTGATGCTGGAAATCGCTCGCGCTTTCGAATCTGAACATGGAAAAAACTGCTCGCCCTCGCTCATGACAGTCTTCCCTCGTCGCAATCGTGGTCTCACAAGCCCCGAGCACTTCTAACCCGGCCTAGCCACACTACTAGGCGGGGTATCAGGCGGCGCACTACCCGTACGTGGTATCGCTGTATTATTACTTGATCTCCGCGAAAAGTCGGGCTGTTTCATCTGATTGAGATGTTGGCCTGGTTGTGTAGTTGCTCGTCTGAGGAGCGGGCTTGGCGAGGAGACATTACCCAGACTATGCCTTCCGGCGTGTGAGACGTCAATCGAAGAGTTTGACCGGACAGTCGGGGTACCAGGTGTACTACCCCGCGACCGAGGATATGGCGATGAACCACGCTGACCGATGGGATAGCTGTCGTAATCGTAACCTCTGCCGTCGTTCGCAGTGGGCGTATCTGTCCATCCATCGCGATCGTGGTCGTGCACTTGGTCATGGCCATGTTCGTGGAGTTCATGCTCTAGGTATTTTTCTCCTCTCCTCTTGATCGGACTCTCGTCGTATGGATCAAACCCTACTCT